AAAATACAAATTGTTGTATTCGATGAATGAATTATTGTGGGTACGGATGTGTGTGTGTGTATCGGAGAAGGTGGTAAGGGAGATGAGGTATGGTATTTACTACATTCTTTTGCAAATATTATGCTGGTATTATAATTCTTTAGAGGAGATTCGACTAGCGTGAAAATGTTCTGTATGCATGTGGGAAGTTGGAAGCATACAACTATGATAACAAGACGAAATACATAGTTCTCAGTGTGTATTGAAGTTTGGAAAGTGAAAGTTATACTAAAGCCAAATTGCTTTAACTCGATGCAAAACATAAACAGTTTTCCATGAGTAAATATTGAATCAGGCACATCTGATTGCACATGTACATTAAAATCTATCGGCCTTAAAGTATGCTTTACTTTATGTATAAAATATTCGGCGTGACTATCCTACTTCATATTCGGCCAGATAGTACTCAACTTGTTTATCAACAGCCGCATGCATTCCAACATTTGGAACAAATTTGGATAAAAAAATAAAATCGGTTAAAAATTCTGTTAAAATTTTAAAAATAACGAATATAGACTTTATAATGGAGTCTATACGAAGACATGGTCCTATATAGGCATTGTTTGTCATAAGTCATTACCATATTCAAATACGAAACTTGAAACAAGTAAAAAAGCTGGAAGTGAGGCCGGGCCAAACTTCGAAAACCCTCCACCATTTGGAACAAATTTGGCAATTTTCAAAAAAAAAAAAAAAAAAAAAAAACAAGTAAGCAAAGGCTTTAGACGTGCGGGGCCGACCATGTGATACCCTACAACACTACAATTTGTTGGAAGTCCCCTTATATCCAAATCCATTTTGGAAGATTTCGTTTTTGAAATAATGACCCGGAGAATTTGGAGATTGGACCATAATTGCGATATGCATATAATACCCTCAAAAAGTAGTGTTGGGGGGTGTAAAAATAAAAAAAAATTCAATTCAAATTGTAAGTCAAATTGAAAAAATCGCATGCGATAAAAAATATGACAAAAATTGAAAAAAAAAAACGACAAAAGATATTCACTTTGTTATTGGTACATTTTTCCGCTATTTTCTTAGATTTTATCGTTTTCTGGCAAGAGACCATTCCGAATTGATGGGAATTGTGAAAATCGGCCCAGCGGTCCTTGATTTATAAGCAGAATAAATAAGATCAATTCTTTTACATATATATTTTACCTATTTTGCTATATATCCGATTTCTTGGCTATTAGCATCACTGTAATGATCAGAAGTGATATTTTAATGCAATTGTGATTTGGCTGGGATTGAAAATATTCGCGGTTTAGTGGACATTTTCCTTTTTTCTAATATAAAAGTTAGGGTCTATTTTACCCACTAATTATTGTCCGATGGCCGCCCAAATTGGTAGGTTTCTACCCACTCCTAAACTCTAACTCCATGTAAATTTTTAAATTGTGACCTATAGAGCAACTGCAAAATCGGAATTTTTTTCTAAATATCGTGCGATTATCCCCAAATACAATAGGGTTCTATTCTGACCATAACCCTATCCCCATTTTCAATTTCGTGAGGATCGGTTCAAAATTGAGACCTGTAGCTTGATTACAAATTAACATGGACAGACGGACGGACATACATAGCTAGATCGACTCATCTCGGCGAGATAGGAAGAATCATATATACTTTCCTATGTGGGAAACCAATATTTCGTGGTGTTACATAATTTTTGCCCCAATCAAACTTTTAATACCTTCAACACATAGTGTTGTAGGGTATAAAAAAAATTAAACAAGTAAAAAAACTGTAAGTTCGGCCTGGCCGAACTTTGAATACCCTCCACAATTTGGTACACATTTAACAATTTTCAAAAACATAAAATCCGTTAAAAATTCTGTTAAACTATTGAAAATACCTAATGTAGCCGTATATTAGAGTCTTTACGATGACGTGGACCTGCATAGGCAAATTTTGCCACAAGTTATTACAATATTCAAATGCGAAAATTGAAAAAAAAAATCTGTTTATAATGTAACTAAAATCATCAAAATACCGAATATAGGGAGGTACCATGGTCGTTATAAATCGTGGATCTGCACAGACAATTTTCTGTCATAGGCTGTAGCATCCATTACGAACTTCAAATGCGAAATTTCAAACAATTCCGGTGAATAATGTCGTCGAAATCATCAAAATACAGAATATCGGGAGGTACCGTTATATGGGGGCTATACGAAGACGTGGACCTGCACAGACAATTTTCTGTCATAGGCTATAGTATTCATTACGAACTTTAAAACCAAATTTGAAATAGTTCCGGTAACTAATGTCGCTAAAATCAACAAAATACCGAATATCGGGAGGTACCGTTATATGGGGGCTATACGAAGACGTGGACCTACATGGCTCGTTTTCTGTCTTAGGATGTAGTATCCATTACGAACTTCAAATACTAAAATTGAAACAATTCCGGTAAATAATAACGCAAAAATCATCAAAATACCGAATATGGGGGGGTACCGTTGCATGGGGGCTATACCAAGACGTGGACCTACATGGCCCATTTTCTGTTTATGCTGTAGTATCTATTACAAATTTCATATACGAAATTTGAAACAACTCAGGTAAATAATGTCGCTAATACCGAATCAAAATACCGAATATCGGGAGGTACCGTTATATGGGGACTATACTAAGACGTGGACCTACATGGCATATTTTCTGTCTTAAGCCATAGCATCTATTACGAACTTTAAATATTAATTTTAAAACAATTCCGGTAAAAAAATGTCGCTGGAATCATCAAAATACCGAATATAGGAAGGTACCGTTACATGGGGGTTATACCAAAACGTGGACCTACATGGCCCATTTTCTATACCAAAAGTCCTGCAGAAATAATATACATTTGAGTCAAATTTTTTCAACCTACTTCATTTCGTTCAGAAGCTAGAGTGATTTGTACAGACGTACGTAATATACCCTCCATGCTATGGTTGTGGGTATAAAAACAGTTTAGTATCACTTAGTACTTTTCAAATAATTATAGTACACATTTTCTTAACCACCTCCATATTTTAACCACAGACACCAACAGTGACATCTATCTTATATTCCGGATAACAGCTCTTTTCCTTCATCCAATACCAAATTTAGTACTTTCGTACAACTATAGTACACAGCTTCAAATACACCTCCATATCCCAATTCCCGGTACTAACAAAGACCTCATTATGAAATTTGAGGATCCCAGCCCTATGCCTTCATCCAATACCAAATTTAGTACCAGTTAGTTCTTTTATATTACAAATTTCCGAAACCAACTCTATATGTCTAAGCTACACATTAACAGCGACTCTGATACAAAATTTTGAAATTTGTCGACAAAAGGATCAAAATTTCCACTGCGCATGAAGCTCATAAAACGCGAAATTAACATACAATTCCATTCAGACTTGGCACATCTCAATATTTCTATCAGCACAAGATCTAATATAAAGATGGTAGAGATCGAACCATTGCTTCTAGTACCTCCCCCACACAGGGCCAAAGTTTTGAATAACCAAAACGAAACGATTATAAAATCCGGTTCCTTTGTATTTCACCCATGCCATTTTTTCTACTAACACAAGATCTGCTGTAAAGATGGGATATATCGGTCTACTCCTTCTGGTACCTGCCCCACAAAGGGTCAAAATTTTGTACATTCGTGAAGCTTATAAAATGCGAAATTAACATTCGATTCCATTCAGACTTGGAACAACTCAACAGTTACATCAACACAAGATCTGTTATAAAGATGATAGAGATTGGACCATTTCTTCTGATACCTCCCCCACATTGGGTTCAATGAACGCCCAAAGAAAGCGAAAAGCATCCAGCTCTCTTCAAATTTCACACATACAAATATTTTTGCTAACACAAGATCCGTTGTGAAGATGATATATATCATGCGAACCCCTTCTTGTACCTCACGAACAACGGGTCACAATTCTCAATACTTTTATAACTCGCGAAACAAGTCAGCGATTCTTTACATCCCGATTTCTCAAGGTGGCCAGGGTATGATGTCATTATGCATTTGTTTGTGACAGACAAAAGGAAACGAGATAGACCCATAGTTTCTTTTGATGATCTGCATAGAATGACATTCTGAGTCGATTTATGCATGTCAGTACATCCGTCCGTCTGTCCATGTACAGATCGCATTTATTGCCCGATCCACATGAAATTTTGCACAAATCATTTGTTTGGCCAAAGGACAAACCCTATTGAATTTGATAAGATAATCGGTCAAAATTTAAATATAGCTTCGATATATATCTTCGTTCGATTTGCCTTTTTGTGCACCAAGCGTGTACTATCGTCCCAAATAGTATGGAATTTTGCACATACGATCAAATTAGGCCTGAAAATAAGTATGCCAACTTTAATCGAAATCGATTCAGATATAGCTGTTGCTTATCGAGGTCGATTCGAATTGGATATAGCTTGTCCGATTTCAGGTTAATTGTGCACCAAATGGGCAATAAAAGCCCCAATTGAAAATATACAAAGTCGTCGGCATATTTAGTCCTCTGAACTTTAAATTACAATTATAATCATAGCTTGTATGATTTAATTATCCCATAAAATAGTTTAATTGTTATGTAAAGCTCTATTAAATATCCGAAGTGGTGCAGGGTATCATAAAGGCGCCTCCCCCCCCCCCCCCCCCCCCCCCCCCCCAGAGTTTAAGACTTTCTTTACTGGTTTTATCTGTATCAGAAGAAGTATCATTAATATTACCGAATGCACTATATACCCAAAATCAAAGGATTCCAAGGAATCTTAATCTGAAAATGTCCAAAACTCCCTTCTTTCCAAATGTCCAAAACTCCCTTACTTTTCGTTGGAAAATTGGACCTTCATTAGAAATTGGACCTTCATTTCATTTTTAATTTTTCAGAAATCAAAATTTGTACAAGTTTATTGACATTTTCCAATAAAAATAATTTAAAATTAAAAAGGCACATGTATTCTTTCAATTTGATTTGTTTTTTAATAATTTGTATATTATTGTTCAATTTCAATTATACAAAAATAAATGTTTAATTTTAAATTTAATTCCATGAAAATACCGATGCATGTATAAATGTGTGAATGTAAAAGTATGTAAACAACAAAATTGATAACGAATGAAAACCAAAAAATAAAATGGCATAGAATATAAAAAAATGGAAATTAACTGATGCAATTTCTATATATTTTGCAGGCCATCAATGTCAGTTAATGGACCCCCAATGATGATGATGCTGTTACTATCGGCGATATGAGTTGGTAGACACCCAGTTTTCCATCCATCAAAAAAAGACAAACAAACAACTCATCATGTCCAATTACTGATAATTAGCCAATACTTCACGATTGATAACCCCCGGATAGCTGGTATAGACTTGTGATTTGCCTGTCAATGCAATAAATTGCTCAGCAACTTCGACGGCCACACGAACTTGAGCCTCCGCCGTACTGGCGCCCAAATGTGGGGTAGCCACCACTTTAGAATGTTGAATGAGTTTTTTGGTGACTTCTGATTTAGGTGGCTCCTCGGGATAGACATCAAATGCAGCACCACCACATTGTCCCGATTCCAGGGCATCGAGCACGGCCTGTTCATCAACAATGCCACCACGGGCAACGTTCACAACCTTAACGCCCTTCTTGCATTTTGCCAAGGCTTCTGCGGAGACGAGATCTAAAGATGGGGTAAAAAGAGAGAGAGAAATTAATGCATTGGAAAATATTAATGTAAGTTATAATTTTGAGAATACACTTTTAGAGAACTTCAAAGTCAAAATCACAATATTGTATGGAATTTGTCAAAAATGGATTTGCCAGAATTTATTTAAATTATTTTATTTTTTGAAAAATTTGTTTGAAAATTATTATTTATTTGAAATTATTAGGTGAAGAACACAAATTTGAAAATCGGAAAAAGTTATTTTTGCTCCGTTCCAGAGCCTGCAGAATGTAAAGATTTTACTACGATAACCGATTTTTCCTTTATGATGTCAAATTGCAAAAGTAGTAGATTCTTGCAGGTTCTGCACCAGAACATTTATAAACTCCTAGACCACCATATTTTGTTTTTAAAATTCATGAAATTGAAACCTTCTACAAGATTAGAATTTTTATAAATTTAGTGGTGTTAAATCCCGAAAGAAAATTTCCACTCGCAACATTTTTGTTCCACTTCTTATTTCTTAACTTACTTCTTGTGGCTGGTATCAATGGGGTATGCACGGTAATATAATCTGCCAAAGGCCAAATTTCATCCAATGTCATTTTTTCAATGCCTGCCGCCTTTGCTTCTTCCTCCGTTGTGATGGGATCATAGCCAATAATCTGCAAGACACATAAACAAAGCCCCAAAAAATGGGTCACAAATAAATATGATGCCAGACAATATGACAATATTTTTGTAGGTTATTTTCATTGAAAAGAAGTAGAAGGTCACATACCCTCATGCCCCAGGCCTTCATGCGTATGGCCACCTCACGGCCAATGCGTCCCAGACCCAATACGGCCAATGTTTTGCCATACAATTCACTGCCACTGTAGAGTTTTCTATCCCAACGGCCCTCTTTCATGCTCTGGACAGCCGGCACAACTGGACGTGCTAAAGTTCCGATGGCAATGCATGTCAATTCACAGGCCGAAATTGAATTACCACCTGGAGTGCTGCGCGCGTGTATGTGTGGGAGAAAAAAAAAACAAAATAAACAAATTGAGGTTAGGTGAAAGGAATTAAGATACGTTTTCAAATTGAAGAGAGATAGAGAGAGAGAAAGAACAAACATCATTAAAGAGATTAAATTGATACGCCATCAATGAAACTTTGTTCTAGGAAGCTTTGTTTTGCAACTCATGCCAATTTTTTTTCATTTCTCGTTAGCCATGCAAAAAAAAAGAACAAATTGTTTGGCTTTATTTTGACTAGACACAAAAATTATGCAAATCAGTCAGCCAGTCTATTGCGCTCACAAAAAGTTTACACATGTCTTATGTTAATTATTCGCCAGATAGCTGGAGCTGTCTGTCTGTTTACTTTTACACTTACTAGAAGATTGTTTGCAAAAATTTTAATGTGTTTCTACTCTGCCAGTGAGAGATGTTCTCTCCGGGGAAAAAGTCACATAAGTCAAATTTTAACTTAGGTGAACTTTGAAAAAACAAAAATTATAGACACCATTCAAAGGTTAATAACTGTCGTCGAGGGGTCGTAATGGAATTGTCAATAACCTGAGGAATTTTTGGATTTTAAATAATATTTTGGAAGTGTAATATGAGGTAGAAACGTAGATTTTTCAATGCCACCCTGCAACAAAATGTAACTTTTTCGATAATTGCAGGGAAAAAACCAGTATACTATATTAAACATATTCTGTCAAAAAATTGTTAACCCTCCGAAGAAACCAAATCGACCCTCGCAATAACTAAATCATATTTTACAGCACAGAAAAATAAAGGATAATCCCATTTTGCTTCAACTTTGTATATCCTAATATTTGCATTAGTGCTAGATCAGGTGCGAAAATGGGAAATATCGGTCAAGTACCTCCCCCACAAAGGGTGAGTAAATATATAACTCTTTTAAAATGTGATGGAAGTGTCCGATTGTCTTGAAATTACACACATCACAATATTTTTATTAATCTAAGGTCTGATATGAAAAAGGAATATATCGGTCCAATCTTTCTGTTACCTCCCCCACAAGGGGTCAAAATTTTGAGAATCCATGAAGCTCCTAAAACACGAAATTAACATCCGATTCCATATAAACATGGCACATTTCAATATTTCCATTGACACAAGATCTGTTATAAAGACGGTTGAGATCGGACCATTCCTTCCGGTACCTTCCCCAAAAAGAATTAAAATTTTGAATTACCAAAACGTTCATAAAATCCGAATTAAGAATCCGGTTCTTTTCAAATTACACACCTCACAATATTTTTATTAGCCCAAGGTCTGGTGTTAAAATGAGATATATTGGTGTACGCCTTCTGGTACCTCCCCCACAAAGTGTCTACATTTTGAGAATCCATGAAGCTCATATAACGCGAAAATAACGTCCGATTTCATTCAGACTTTATACATCAAATTATTTCCATCAACAGAAGATCTGTCATAAAGATGAAGGAAATGGCACCATTTCATCTGATACCTCCCCCGCATAGGGTTCAAGATTTTGAAAAATAAAACGCTCAAAGAAAGCAAAATAAGTAACATTTCTGGTAAAACAAAATCTGCTGTAATGATGATATATATCTGCGAACCCCTTCTGGTACCTTCCCCACAAAGGGTCACAAAGTGTAAAGAAAATATCGCACATGTATCGGCCAGTGTTAGGTATGACAATTAATTATCGATTCGTCGCCATTCGCAGCAATTGGGCTTCTGTTGGTCTACAACGTGGACAATTTGACCGAAGGATACACGTGGACAATTTGACCGAAAATACAGATGGTGCAAAAACTGAGGCCGAACTGTTGGAAATTTGGCCGAAAGATTCACTTTGTTATCAAAAAAGTATGTCCATGTACGAAGCAAATTTTTAGCTCAAATTAAATAAGTAAATAAGCTGAATTGTCGATTTTTGAGTGAATATCGGCCAGAAGTGTCGCAAAAGCTCCATTCAACTTAATAAAAAAACTGCGGTCTATGGGCTGGTGGCATCATTGAATAATACTTCATTAAAGATGTTTCGAATCGTAACTGGTAATGGTGAGCGCTATGTGATATGGTATACAACGCAGCACATCTAACAATGGACTTATTGAGATGAGTCCGATGAACATTTTATTTCACTTTCAGTCCAAATGTATGTATAGCTTCCATATATATATATATATATATATATTATTCCGATTTCTAGGTAATTTCGCGCAAAATGTGCATTATCAGTCCAAATATTATGAATTTTATGACATACCACCGAAATAAAAGTTTAGTTCAAAATTTGGATATATCTCCCTACGTCCGATTTCAAGTTTGTTGTGAACCAAATGTGAAATATGAGCCCAAATCAGCTTACATTTTGACACAAACAACCAAATTAAGTCTAGAAGAATGAATTTGATATTCATTTAAAACGAAGCCGTAATATGCACTCCATACCAGTGATATTTGGTACATAATATCAGATAGAGCCTACAAATTTCTTCGACAAATTTTCGTCCGATGTCGAATTTTTAGTTCAAAAAATGTGTAATATCAGCCCAATATTGGCACCTGCTACCGAATTTAGCATAAAAGTCAGTTTGAAAATTTGGTGAAAATTAGAAAAAGCTATAGCTCCTATGTATGTTTCATCCAATTTAAATTTACATAAGTCCCGCAAGATCGTAATGTGCTCTCCATAACAATAATATTCTTTATAATTTATACCATAGAGCCTATATACAGTCTATAAATGCGTTTGACAAATTTTGTCGAGATCGGTTCAGATTGGGATATAGCTACTACATATATTTCCTTTTAATTTGATATCGAAAAAATTGCAAAACATGTAGATTCTTGCAGGTTCTGGAATAGAGCATATGTTACGATTGTCCGATTAATGGGTGTCCCAACTAGAACGAAACTTCAATTTGTTTTGTAGCTACAGTTCGCAAATTGCGTTCAATTTGGGGCCACAATAATGCTAAGAGATGGATGGATAAATTTGCCGAAACTGGGTCTGTTAGTGATGTAAAGACAAACACTTTGACCAGTTCTATCGACCGAAAATATCACAGCTCTACGTGGTGATGTCGCTTAAACTCCATCCACTTCAATTCGACACCGAGCTCAGCCAGGTTTTGTCCGTCTCAAACTACTGCTTACACAATTTATTCATTGAAAGAGAATTATCTATATAGGTCCATGATATCATATAGTCCACATATAGCAGTACCCCCCGGTATTCGGCATTTTGATGATTTTAGCCACATTTGTCAACGGAATTGTCTGAAAATCCACACATGGAGTTCCTTGTGGGTACTTTATACCTCGACAGAGAATTATCTATATAGGTCCACGATATCGTATAGCTCTTATATAACGATACCCCCGATATTCGGTATTTTGATGTTTTTAGCCATATTTTTCAAAGGAATGGTCCCAAAGGGTTCTTTGTACACAAGGTGTTCTTTGTGAGTATTTTACCCCCCGAAAGAGAATTCTCTATATACGATAACGTATAGCCCCCATATAACGGTACCCCGCGATATTCGGTATTTTGATGATTTTAGCCTCATTTTCCAATCGTATTGTCTGGAAATCCACAGACGGAGTTCTTTGTGAGCACTTTAACCCTGAAACGGAATTGTCTGTATAGGTCCACAATATCGTATATCCCCCATATAACGGTACTCCCCTATATTCGGTATTTCGATGATTTTACCCACATTTTTCAACGGAATTGTCTGATAATCCACACAAGGCGTTCCTTGTGAGCACTTTACCCCCTGACATAGAGTTCTCTATATAGGTTAACGATATCGTATAGCCCCCATATAACGGTACCCCCGTTATTCGGTATTTTGATGATTTTAGCTATATATTCCAAGGGTATTCTCTGAAAATCCACACAAGGGTTTCTTTGTGAGCACTTTAACCCCTGAAAGGTATTTGTCTATATAGGTCCACAATATCGTATATCCCCCATATAACGGTACCCCCGATATTCGGGATTTTGATGATGTTAGCCACATTTCCCAATGGAATTGTCTGAAAATCCACACAATGAGTTCCTTGTGAGTACTTTACCCCCAGACATAGATTTGTCTATATAGGTCCACAATAGCGTATATCCCCCCATATATCGGCACCTTCCGATATTAGGTATTTTAAAGATTTTAACAGAATTTTCAATGGATTTTATTTTTTTGAATATTATCTAATTCGTTCCAAATGGTGGAGGGCATTCAACGGTATTTACGGTCTCTCTCTAACCATCTGTTTTTTGTGTTATCAAGTTTCAGCCCAATTTTCAACCAAATCGTAATGTAATGTGATATTTCGAGTTGTTCGCTTTGAGAATAACTGATCTCAAAATATTAATATTATATAGCTTATTCTCTATTAATATAACTTATTCTTCTTATTCTTCCAGTTCTCTGGAGAACCATAAAGACACTGCCAACAATAATTTAATTGACCGTTGGTACTTACTTTAGGACAATAACTTTGTTCTTTGTTGCTGCTGGTACATCAATATTATCCACACCGGCTCCGGCACGACCAACTACCTTCAAGCTTCCCGCCCCAGCCTCTAAGACCTGTTGGGTGATTTTTGTGTCAGATCTAACAATGGCAGCATCATAGTTCTGAAATGAAATAGTAATCACAATATAAATATAAATGCGATATTTATAGACTGAAGTAGTAGTACCAAATTAATGGTATTGTTAATAGATCCATAATAACATAAGTTTTTTTTCCAGAACTTGCAAAAATATACAATTTCACCATTTTTACCGGGCAACTGTTCTCGAAGCCTTGGCACAACCAAAAGAGATTTTAACTTTAAACGAACTAGGAAAAATGCAACTCTGTGCTAGAACCTTATTATTTCAAATAGGCATTTTATTATTTCATAGGCGTTTTAAATTAGCATATAGAACTCTGCATTCTATGAAATTTAATACATAAAATTAACTAAAGAGATAACAGATTCCCATCTCTGATTTATGTATTTACAATGGATTTACGAATATTAATTTTGTCTAGTAAAATTGAATGCCATATTTGGTCATATTCTCTTGAATTTCACTTCGATTTTTACAACTTTTCAAGAGAATCTTATTTCTGAAAAAATATCCCTTTCCCAAATTTTCTACATAATGCAATTCTCTCAAAGTTATTTCAACAAGTTTTTATATCGTTTTAAGATGGATTCTTGTTCTATGAATGTACGAAATGAAAAATATTTCCTTTACATTTTTCTTTTAACATTTCTTCCCTTCATAACTGTTTTCATTCCATATTTTCATAGAACATGAATTGAGCCTCATGACACCCTAATATACACCAAAATTTATATTTTAATCCATGCAAACAGGAGGCAAATACTTACTTTGACTTCTTTGCAGAGTTCATCCACCGGCAATTTCAGTTTATAAGCCACCTGATGACGATAAACAAAAACAGGAACAACAACAAAAGAGAAAAAAATTGCAATTAAAAATAAATCTTCAATGAAACACACACAGAATTTAAATAATCAGCAAAATATGAAAGCATAAATTAAGACGACGAAACGAAAATTTACATTAATGCCATTCTTTTGCAAAAGCTCCACACAGGCGCTGTCTACGGCATCGCACACCAAGACATTTTTAATATCAACCGGCATTTTTCTTGTTTTCTGTTTTAATTTTCTTAAATTATTTCTCTTTTATGTTCTACACAAAATTGTAGGCTTTAGAGAATTTCTTCTGAACGTAGGATGTGTGATCTCCACTTGTATGTACAACCAACCAACCAACCGGTCCGGACGGTATGCGAAACTCAACTGATTACAGAATTGAAAAAAACCGGCCGCCAACTTTGTAAGACTTGCATTCCATAGCATGAAAGTGGACAATAACAACAGTGACACTGACAGCGGGACAGACGTGCGAACAACAAACAAAACAGCTCACATTGAAAAATAATAAAAACAACGATCTCCAGACTGGACGTACTTAAGGCTTGCACAGTGTTGTGAGATCAAGATTTTTGAAGACAAAATCAGCAAAAATATTGAAAAACAAATTGCATTTTTCAAAATTGTTTGCAAAATGCAATTCTTGTGCGACAAATTTCAAATAGTTACAATTTTTTTCAATAGTTACGAGGAAAATCCTGCAGATTATGAAAGTAGAGCTAAAAAATTTTAGAAATTTTTGGATTAAGATTCCGCGGAATCCCTTATTTTTATATCCCCCACCTTGGAAAGGAGGGTATATTAACTTTGTCAATCCGTTTGTAACATCCTTAAATATTCGTCGTAGACCCCATAAAGTATATATATTCATAATCAGCATAAAATTCTAAGTCGATTTAACGATGTCCGTCTGCCTGTCTGTCCGTCTGTCTGTCTGTTGAAATCACGATACAGCCCACAAAATTTGACGTAGAGCGCCAAAATTTAGCAGAGCAATTTTTATTGTGTCTGGTATAGTCCCCATATGACGATACCTCCCGATATTCGTTTTTTTGATGATTTATGCCACATTTTTTCACGGATTTGTCTGAAAATTGGTATTTGTAGGTCATAACGGGTCCCTGTGCGTGTGGCAAAACATTGCATGAATAGGACCACGTTTTGGTATAGCCCCCATATAAAAGTAACTCCCGATATTCGGTATTTTAATTTTTTTGCCACATTTTTTCACGGAATTGTCTAAAAATTGGTATTTGTTGGTCATAATGGGTTCCAGCTCCGGTGGCGAAACATTGCATGTATGGGCCCATGATTTGGTATAGCCCCCATATAACGGTACCTCCCGATGTTCGGTGTTTTAATGATTTTTGCCACGTTTTTTCACGGATTTGTCTGAAAATTGGTATTTGTAGGTCATAATGGGTTCTAGCTCCTTTGGCGAAACATTGCATGTGTATGTCCACGATTTTTACTTGTTTAACCCTGAAGCGAGTCTTTTTGATCCTTTCTTTAAATTAGGGTTAAAAACTTCCTTTAAACGGGATCGTAGCAAGTCGAAATATTCTACAAAACTATTTGCCATAAAATTCTACTCTAGGTCCTACAAGACGTCAAGAGTCTAAATCCTACATATACTCTAGGAATTCATATACATTTAAAATACTTTCCGTTGTACATATATTAAAAAAAATATTGGCATCAATGTTCTCAAAAAAAATTCCCAATGTTTGTATAATTTTTTTTTCTAACTTTTTTTAAGTTGACAACTGAAAATAACGTAAAATTTATTTTACGCAAAAGATGTCAAAAGAAGAAATGTTTTACACAAAACTTCACTGTTAATCTCAGAAAAAACCATCAATGTGGGTGCAATAGTTTTTAAGAAAATTAGATTAGAAATTTTTGTACTACAGTGCAAATTTTGTGGTACAAAAAATGGGACATATCGGTCCACTTTTGGTGTAGACCCCATGTAAGGATAATTTCGATTTCTAGTATATTTTTTTATTATTTTTTTCATACTTTCCATGTAGTTTCACCAAGTTTTGTCATTTTGAGGTCTACTTTTTGATACAACCCATATAAAAAGACCCCTATAAAGGGTCTTGAATATTTTCAATCAATTCTTAGCAAAATCTGAATTGTACATCTGTGTAATATGCCGTTTCCACACACTGTACCTTGTAAAAAAATATCAGTACTATTTGCCTTATATTAAAGCGAAAATACTTGTTGCCGTGGACAACAGCGTCAATCATAAATGAGAATTTGTCATAAATTATTGTGTGGTCTGACCGATAAGAATTTTTTTCTCAACACGTTCTATCTCTCACTCTTTTGGTATTTTCTCAGACAGATTATATTGCCATCGGCCCTATCAACGGTAATTGTTAGTGTCTTATGCACATGTGGTCTGTGACACCTTAGATAATGAAAATGGGCTATTGAAGTCGATTAACTAATGAAGTCTGATAATCTTTCACAAGAATCAATAGAGATATGGTGGAAATTTTGGTCAGTCTGGTTCATATCTTATCAGTAGAATGTTTCTACATTAACCGGTAATAGCCAGTTAAGAAATTTGGAACATTAATTTTATGACGAACCATGAATTTATGACGGGGGTCATTCACGCTTGTCGTGTTTTAATTTATTTTTATTTGTTTTAAGTGTGTCGCAGCTAGAGATAAAAGCGGGAGATCCTTTTAATATACAAATCTATTGTTTTCTATCGATATTTTGAGTGAATAGAAGATGGTCAATATTTCCCATAAGATCTCTTCATTTTAAAGCTTGAACATCTTAAAAGTACAACTTTTAAATACAAAAGTATTGATACCTTGTTTCACTTGGTATTTTATTAAAATAGACATTTTTAATATCTTCGATAAATGATTAAAGTTAAGATACATAGAAGGTTTTTTACTGGCTTAAGTTATCGGATGGCTTGTTTGTAAAAGAACAAAGAAGCGTAGGGTAAACAAATATAAATTATGGACCAAAATTGATCTAAGTCAACCTAAAACCGCTTTGTTATTTTACGAAGAAGCCAGCCGATAACTTAAGCCAATAAAAAGCCTTCTACATATATATCTGCACTTTAATGTTTATTTGTATATATTGCAATTCAATGTCATATTTTCGTTCATTAATGGCGCCATCTTATATTCAGGCAACAAAAACACCAAAAGTGTTTTTACACTACAAAATGTTATGTAGCAACGTCCATATCATTATTTTATTCAAACATTACATAGCCCCATCTAGATGTGAGTTGTGTCAATGAATTTTGTTTTAAAAGGTTTGGAGCATTACTAAATATTACTATTCTGTCAAAACATATACACAAATGCTCTGTTCCATGATAGAAGAATATAGGTAGATGCATGGTAGAAGAATATAGGTAGACGCATCGACACAGGTGCTGGGACAATGAACTGTTAAACCAATTTTGGAATTGAAACTGTTGAATGAAAAAATTATTTAAATTTGTAAAAATTGTTGAAAAACGCGTACTATAATAATTTCCTAATGACGTCGTATAAGAAAACATATAAAAATCTGCTTGTATTTGAAATGACATTTAAAATTTTTTGACATATCAACGCTTGGAAACATTGATATGTCAAAATTTTTTAAATGTATTTTCAAAAATAAGTTGCTTTGTATATGTTTTCTGATACGACACCAATCAGAGTTTGTTGTGATATGCATTTTTCAACAATAGTTGTGTTCCAGAACCTACAAATTAGTACTAAATAATGCTAATTCTGCTACAACGCGTTCCCGTACTCCAAAAACTAGCAAAACTTGAAGCTCTCTCCAGAAAAAAATTGGCGCTGAGTGGTGCACATTTCTGCTTGTTTTAGCTACATGAATTTGGTCGAGCAGAAATGTGCAAATTGTAAATTTGACAAAAGATAAACTTAAAAACTAATATTTGTCTTGCAAAAAACAAAAAGAGAAAATATGGAGCAACTGATTTATTCACTTTTGGATGATTCCAGGAGTGAAGAGGACTGGCTGAATGAGGAATAAGACGAAGAAAATGGATTGGAAAACAGTGCAAAATTAGTGAAAGGTAAATTGAAAAAATAAGCTTAAAATCAAAGATGTTCGCTTATTACTACGAACATTTTCTTATTATTTTTTAGGTTGGCTGTCTTCCCAACTTGTGGCATTAAGTCTTCTAGCAGTCTTAAGGGCTAAGTACATAAAAAGCTTGAAGTCATGGCTAGGCATATTTTGTGACATTTCACAAAGGGATTACAGAGCCGCATTAAATCCAGCCGTAGTTTTCCATTATAATTTGACATTAATATGACTAGCCATGACTTCAAGCTTCTTATGTACTTAGCCCTTTAACATTAATTTAACCGGCGCCTCCAACCATGTCAGCTTCTCTGGGGTTGGGATTTGAGAAAACTCCACCTCTAAATACTCTTCAACGCATTCTGAAAACAAAACTTTCTAAATAAACAGCGTTTAAAAATAATTATTTATTTTAACTTATTTTCAATACTCATTTTTTAAATTTTGGCGTCCATTTCAGTAAGCTTTCACCAGTCCGATTTAGACTGTTTTCTTTTGGAATTTTGAATGTTGACATTTTATCGCATTTATGCTAATTTTCTGTTCTCTCTGGAAAACTAATTTTACAAATTTGAGTAAATTTTCATTTAAAAATTTGTGGAACAACTAATTTTACAAATTTGAGTAAATTTTCATCTAAAATTTTCAATTTCAAAATTGGTTTGACAGTTCATTGTCCCAGCAGCTGTGTCGATGTGACTACCTGTATTCTTCTACCAACAAATAGTACAATTTTGGGATAAACCTGTATTGTCTTACTATCTTAGATTCAATTTTGTGGAATTACCCCAGTATTCCTTTCATGTTTTGTGTTTTTTTTTCAATCTAAAAATATTGTTAAAAATGTGAAATAAACTAAACCAATTGTTGTATATTTAAAAGTATGTTTGATACTATAAGACTCCTCTATAGAGTTGCATTTTTCCTAGTTTCTTGAAGTTGAGCAACCTTTCTGATTGAGCCATGGTATGTTCCACAACCTGCAAGAGTTTTTAATACAATAACCAATTGCCCTTTATGATATCGAAAAATATTTTAAAACTAGTAGATACTGGAACAGAGCATTTTTTTTCATCGCTTACTTATCGAACTTATGGTAAGTTCACATGACACGTTATTGACTCTCTATGTAGAAAAAAATTTAATCAGCTGGTAGCTCTACTTTACCTCTTTATTGTACCATGTGTTTATGTATACATCTGCGCTTTTTCAAAAATGATTGGAAATTAAAAATAGAAAGAATTGTTTGTGTTAAGTTTTAACTTATGTTTTTCCTATTTTGCAATCGGCAGAAAAGTCAGCAAATAATGCTCATTTAGACTAGTCATTTTAAATCGACTCGATTTCTAAATCCAACTTTCAAAACCTATTTTTTAAGAATACTTTAAAATAATATAAAATGTCAGTCAGCTGTTCTTTGTTTATGTCTACATACGCGCTTTTTACTCAATGGACAAAAGATTTTCCATATCACAGTTCACACTACGATCATCTGCGGAATATTTGAATTATTAAAATTTGTAAAAATAAAAAATGCATATCATAACAACCTCCGATTGGCATCGTATGGGAAAACATATAGAAATTTTGTGGAAGATATGTAATCGATCCCCACATTTACTCAATCTATTTATATTCCTGATATTCTGATAAAAATATTTGAATTTTCATGGGAATGTCTTCTTCTTTTCCGAAAGTTCGAGTAGAGTCTCTTCTCCAGCTTGTGACCAACGTTTACGAGTTTGTTTTTGTTTCCAGCGAAAAATGCCCAACACAAATTATTGTCAAATATATTGTTTATAATTTATATTAAATAAAGCAATATTTTTTCTGCATTTACATTATTTTATTTGTTCCAAATGCTTGCGTTAGTTTTGTCTGTTCCTTTTTGCGATTATTTTAAAATGTAAATAAACGTCATACTATCACAGTTGACAATTTATTTTAATTCCGGTGCGGAATGTAAACATAGCATTAATACACTTCAAAGTTCCTAATGTTTCCCCAAAAATCCTTAATAGTTAAAGCCCATTTATTCGGTTCGAGATTAGCATACTGGGTTTTTTATTATCCAGTGGGCTTATTAGATCCGAAAAATTTCAAAAGTAGTGGATTCTTTAAATTAAAAAAAATTAAATTTTAAAAAATTTAAAAAGCTTACACTGATTAAATTTACGTGGGAACATGGCAATAGTGTCATATACATTCATGCATGGTAGAAAAATACAGGTAGATGCATCAACGCTTGGGAACATTAATATGTCAGAAATTTTTAAATATTTCTTCAAAAATATGTATATTTCTGTATGTTTTCCTACACGACGCCAATCGGAGGTTGTTATAATATGCATTTTTAACACAATATTTACAAATTTGAGTATTTTTTCATTCAACAATTTCGATTCCAAAATTGGTTTGACAGTTCAATATCCCAGCAGCTGTGTCGAAGCGTGAATGCATGGTAGAAGAATATAGGCAGACGCGTCGACACAGCTGCTTGCACAATGAACTGTCAAACCATATTTGGAATTGAAAATGTTGAATGAAAAATTATTTAAATTTGTAAAAATTGTTGAAAAACACAAATTATAATAGCCTCCGAATGACGTAGTATAAGAAAGCATATGAAAATCTACTTATATTTGAAAAAACATTTAACGCTCCCAAGCGTTCATGGCAGAAAAATACAAGTAGATGCATCAACGCTTAGGAGCATTGATATGTCAAAAAAATTTAATGTTTTCTCAAATATAACTATATTTGTATACGTTTTCTTATACTACATCATTCGGAGGCTATTATAATTCGCGTTTTTCAACAATTTTTACAAATTTAAATAATTTTTCATTCAACATTTTCAATTCGAAAATTGGTTTGACAGTTCATTGTCCCAGCAGCTGTGTCGACGCTTCTACCTATATTCTTCTACCATGCAAGCGTTGATGCATCTTCCTGTATTCTTCTGTCATGTATACATTCATGTTCATCTTGCAGCCTTGCCTCTTTATTTTTGCCATGACATCTGCTATCGATAACAAATCGTTTCGATAAAATCGATAGTTGTTTGTCATTTCAATGCCGCTCATTTTGAAAAAAACAGTTGAAGGTGGCGGAGTTTTTGTTTAGTGGTTTGTTGTTGGGAACAAAAGAATCCTTCGTTTAATGTGTGTGGAGCATTTTGATTAAAAACATTTGCAAATTTTTAAACAATTTACGTCTTGGTGTTTTGTTAAGTGATATATAAATGTGAAACAACAATTGATTTACACGTCAAATAAGGTGTCACACAAAAACAAAAATTAACCTAAAAAAGTGGGACAAAGACCTCGGTCGACATGTCTGGAAAAAATTCCATACAAGTGGGCATTAAAGTGCGGCCACTGCTGAAAAAGGAAAAGGATCAGCAGCCGCTGTGGCGTGTAGTGAATAATTCCATTCAACAAGTGGATTCACAAAGCGATCCATATTATTTTGGTAAGAAAGGACAAATGCAACAATCCACCATTTCGAATGCAGTTGCTTGTTTTTCATTTTTTCCTTTGTGGTACAGATATTTTTTATTCCTATGTGTGCATTTTTCGTTCTGGATGTGTATTTTTTCGTGTTGTCATGTATTTAAAAATAACATGCCAAAAGATTTTTATATAAAAAATTCAATGCATTTTGACTTTTGTGTCTACATAATATGAACTTACATGACACACATAACGGTTCTTGATACTTCTTAGTCAGACATATTTATGCATGACAAGGCTGCTGCTGCTACAAAAGCATTTCTGGCACTATGACACAGACGCTGCAGCAGCACCACTAGCTTCCTAGAAGAACTGGGAATAATGCATTTTCTGTGTGTGCCTCTGTGAGTGTTGTGTTGACAAAAATAGAGTCAACGTTGCCTTCCACTATGTTTCTCCAAATTTTCAAAATATCTATTTTTAGGAACTTTCTTTTGGTGTTTTGTGTTTTTAATTAATGGTGGTGTTGATTTGTCTAAACATACAAATTGGCCACCACAGCTGATGGAGATTTATTAAGAATTGTTTTTATTTTTGTTTATAGATCACATCTTTGATCAGGATGCCACAAATCAGCAGATATTCGATAAAATGGCCAAACATATTGTTCATGCGGCGATAAAAGGTTTTAATGGCACAATTTTTGCCTATGGTCAAACATCATCAGGTAAATTTGAATTGTGAACACTTAAGTTACTATGTTAGCTATTCCCAAATGGATGAATCAATGCATGTTTGTTTGATTTACAGGTAAAACCTATACTATGATGGGGGATGAAGATAATCCTGGCGTTATGGTATTAGCCGCCAAGGATATTTTTCGCGAACTTGAACAACTATCTGTACATAGACAATTTCTTCTCAGGTAATAAGGGAAATTACTCTTTTTTCTTATTAATTTTATATTAAATTGTATTAGCATATGAATATAGTGTAATGATCGGCACAATTCCACCCTTGTAAGATTATGTATTTTTTCTTAATATTAATTATTATTTATTAACATTATATGTCCACTTTATACAACTTCAATTGACGTAACAAAATTCAAATGCATTATTTTGGTTGTGGAACTCCTTTGGCTATATTCCTAGATGAAGATGAATGCATACATATTTTGCCCTAATCCAATTATTAGTGTCTCATTTAAACTAAAGAACAATTATAACGTTTTTCAATCGGAGATTCTTGCAATCAAAAAGGTTATCGAAATGCTAAGAGAACTTTGTAATAGCATAACAGGACCAGTAACTATATATGCCCATAGTCAAGCGGTCCTAAAAGTTATCAAATCAAAAGCCATTAAATTGAGAACTATTCCTGATTTAGAGTTTTATGTTGACTTAGACCATCATTTATATTTGTAATCTTGAGAAGAACAGTATGTTACCTCCTATTAATAAGCCGATCTAATCTAAGAATCTCTATAACCCACTGCAGTATCAGATATGTGACCTCACAGTGGAATAACAGTAGTCTTGATTACTGCAGGCTATGTAAAAATAAACAACTAAAAAAGCTGTAAGTTTGGCCGGGACGAACTTTGAATACTCTCCACCATTTGGAACGAATTTGCAATTTTCAAAAAATAAAATCCTTTAAAAATTCTGTTAAAATGTTAAAAATACCGAATTTAGCCCTTATATTATGGTATATACGACGACGTGGGTTTGCATAGCCATCTTTTGTCATAACCATAAAAATATTTAAATGCCAAACTTGAAAAAAATCGGTGAATAATGTAGCTAAAATCATACTAATACCGAATATAGGGAGGTATTATTATATGGGGGCTATAACAAAACGTTGACCTGCACAGACCGTTTTCTGTCATATGCTGTAGTATCCATTACAAATTTCAAATACCAAATTTGATACATTTCCGGTGAGTAATCTAGCTAAAATCATCAAAATACCGAAAATAGGGAGAGGTAACATTATATATATAAAAGTTTTTAGTATTGTCTTACATTTTATTTTTATGCTCTCCACCATATTATATAGCCATTTCGGTTTGATGATGCGGCTTGGGGCTCTCGAAAACTGCTGTATAATATAGATCAATACTGAAATTTTTTTCTAGTTAGAAATTTTTTTTACTAAAATCCTTCTTTTGAACGAATACAACCATCCCTTAAAAAAGAAAATAAATTAACTCATCTATTCTATTTTTTCATATTTTACAGAGTTGGATACATTGAAATCTACAATGAGAAAATTTTCGATTTACTCGATAAGAAAAATCAGGATTTAAAGATCCATGAGACCGGCAATGGTTTAATCACGGTAAACTGTGAAGAACGTATTATAACCTCTGAAGAGGATCTGCTGTATTATCTAACGCAGGGTAGTAAGGAACGTACTGTTGGCGAGACCAATATGAATGAACGTTCCAGTAGATCTCATGCCATATTTCGTATTGTAAGTTCTAAACACAAATCATTTGTAAATTTAATTAAAAGTAAATTAACATATTATTGCAGATAATTGAGTCACGAAAAGTGGATCGCAGCGAAGACGATGCCGTCATACAGAGCGTTCTCAATCTCGTCGATTTGGCCGGTTCAGAACGGGCCGATCAAACTGGGGCTCGTGGAACACGTCTTAAAGAGGGAGGACACATTAACAAAAGTCTTTTGTTTCTTAGTAATGTTATTAAACGTTTGTCCGAAAATGAAGATGATAAATACATTAGCTATCGCGATTCGAAGCTAACACGTATTTTACAAGATTCCCTGGGTGGCAATGCTTTGACAGCAATTATATGTACAATAAAACCAACAGCCATTGAAGAGACTCAATCCACATTGAGGTGAGCATTTTACTTTGCAAAATATACAACATTTATTTAAATACATGTTGAATTCCAGCTTTGCAATGCGCGCCAAAAGTATTAAAAATAAGCCACAAGTTAATGAAACTGTTTCTGATGCCACAATGATGAAACGTTTAGAACGTGAAGTTAAAATGTTACGTCTACGACTGGCCGAAGAACAAAAGAAAAACGAAAGTCAAATAAAAGTGCGTCAATTGGAACAACGCATACGAAATGAAGATTTGAAAATTATTTCCTGCAATTCGTTGCATAGAAATCGTGAAAAGCGGCGTCGGACATGGTGTCCATCGTCAAATTTAAATACATCAAATATACCTTCTGCATTGCCGGTTCCATCGGCACTACCGGTACCTTCATTCCATAATGGTGCGAATAATGGTGGTGCACCCCCATCTCGTCTTCAACCACCAAAGTCATTTTATTTAACGCCATTGATTACATGTAGACCCACAGAGCCACCGCCAGCTCCCAAGCTATCATCCGGAGAAATTATTTCAGAAATCGATGAAGAATTTGCACCGGCTGAAATGATCAATTTCGATAGATTATCACCGTTGTTAACACCCAAAACGAACATGCCACGTTGTAGCATGACACCCAAAGTTACATCGAATTCAAAATTAACGTAAGTATTAATCCCCATTCCCAAAATAACTAACATCACTTGTTATTGCAAAATTCACTTTGTTTCGGAATCACTATTGCGCACCCAGATCACCACTGCACGCAACCTAAAAAATCATTCCTTTTTTATTTTTTCAATTATTACTAATTGTATGTATCATCCAACCAACCATCCATGCTGTTAATCCTATTTTGCTTTTTGTTAACTTAAACACCAAAAAAATGAACCTTAGTTTAGAATCCGTTGAACAAGATTTGATGGAATTGCAAAGCTTTACTAATTTGGAGGATCGGTATGAGGTTCAACATGAAACGGATTTATCATTGAAACAAATGGTCAACTCATTAACGAATCGCATATCATTGCTTGAAAGTGAACGAATCGAATACATTCAACTAAAAGATGAAATTACAGTTACACGAGAACATTTAACTGAGTATGAAACTAAGTAAGTAAATGGACCTACGTCACATCATTGTAGATATATCTTTTTCATTGTTGTTGGGGCTTGTCTTTTTTAATTACGTACAATGTGCAAATGGATAATTGTTGGTTATAGATAATTGATTGTTTTTGTTTGTATCCTATGTTGATCAATAGAATATTTTACATGTGTCGTTTTGTGAACGTTTGAATCAATTGAAATTCCAAATCTTAAAAATTCTACTTAATGTAAAAAATTACTATTAGCTAGAAAAACTATTATAAAAGGGCTCTCACGAAAAACTCATTAATCATTTTAAACAAAACTCACGGAACTATTTTGTTTGATGGCAAGACTCTTCTCAAAAAAGGTTGAATGTTAAACGTTGCATCATTGTTGATAATTGCATGACTGACCTTCAAAACTTTAACATCAGAAAACTATAATATTTTGAATTCTATTGTAATTAAATAATATTTGAAAGAACTCTATCTTATAGGTTAATACTCTCCCAAGGTAAATAATGTCCTAGTCCTGTATATAAGTAAAGACCACTTTTATTTTTGGTTGGTTTTAATGTTGAATTTCTAAGTTATTAGACCTCCTCACAAAAATTTGGTCTTTTTGGTCCAAATTTGATTAGAATCTACATAACCATTCCACCTTATTATTGGCATTTTGTAAATCCCAGATACATTTTCAAATTTAATGGTTTTATTTGGTATTTGTAATTCATAACGAGTAGAAGACCATCTTGAAAAAACATTAAATTTTGGTACGGTATTGGACTTATTGCCTACGTATAGTGGCAACCCCAAATTTGAGAGAATTCATCCGGAAATTATATATTACTTCCCAGCGTATTGTTACAACGCATTGAGAAATGTTCGGTGATAGCGTGGGATTGCTTGTAATTAAATCTGAATTATCTTATTTGTCCGACATAATCCCGTTTTCGTAAGACAATAACCACTTGGTACTGTGAAATTTCAATGCCCACCCTGGGCCTCAATTCTTGTTCTATGAAAATGTGAAATGAAAACTTTTATAAAAGAAAGAAATGTCAAATGAAAAATTGTAAAGGAAATATTTTTCATTTCATATTTTCATAGAGAAGGAATCCAGCAAATGACCATATTAAGTCAGTAATCAGAATTAGGAGGCCCAATCCAAACAAAGACAATGGGTCATATTCTCCAGAATTAACTATAGAGTCAGTAGTTCTGATAAATAACGTTAATTGACAGCCTGTCATTACTCTTAGATAAAATCAGCTCTTAAAAATCACCTCCATCACCTGATTAAGTGGTATTCAATGTTAGTGATTGCACATTACTCGTCAAAATTCGCTATGTACGACAAATTGAAAAGTAAAACAAAGTCTCAAAATCGCTAACCGGTGGCACTTGTTGATCTAATGCTGTAGGTCGACTTTTGGTAAGATATGTGGCTCCACTTAGTCAACGGCCACACTATTTACCACATGGTCTGCGGAGATGAGAACACAGCTGAACGCGCAGGTCGCATGAAATTTAATAACGACCACAAACTACTCCAAGATCGTAGAAGTCGCATTTGAAAATATGTTCGAGTCGTTCGAGCCTGACACAGCTATCTTTGACAAAATGAAAGGTAGGAACAGGGTGCTTAAGGCGCTAGCCGGCAGCACTTGGGGTGCGGATGTGGAGGCAATGCTGTCCTGAGAACTGAGAACAACAGGGGAATCCTCATTATACCGTATGTCAGTATAACCTTACGTCACCAGAATCACATGCTTTCGAAGCAGTGCCTGCTGTATGCGTGCGTGTCTTCCAAACCATTATATGGTGGATAAATCTCCTCCAACTTCCAGGAAAGACCTACACGTTTGCCGTTTTCAATTCATCAAAATTATCATAAAGACTTAAACATTTAAACACGTTCGTCTGTATTAATCACTCTAACTTTCGAAGGGTTCAATAGTTAAAATTTTTCCGATTTTATAATTATTATGGGATTGAAAATGAGTACATCGTTCCACGTTATCTTATAGCCCACATGTTCTTATAGCATGGAAAGCTACCTCCTGATATTCTGTATTTTGATTAATGTAGCCATTTTTTCAAACAGAATTGTTTAAAATGTGGTATTTGACCTTCCAAATGATCACTAAGTTCAAAATGGGCACTACCTTTTCTGGCAGAAAAGTTTGTGTATATGTTCATGTTTTACCATAGCTCCAATATAATAGAACCTCCCGATCTTTGGAATTTTTAACATTAGGAGTTTGTAATGTCTACCACCTCTGTTGACAGAAAATTTGCTAAAATCTCCAGATATATTTTTATTATATTAGCCATTTTTCTCTTGTTATACTTTATACCAAATGTAAGACCATTTAGTAATTCTCATCCACTATACATCAAGCATTTCCAAAACCCGCACATTGTTTAAATTGTACCCCTTACATCAAAGTTCATAATGCCACCCGGTTTGTCCATTCTATACATCATCAAAGGCCCCTATTCCACATTTTCAATTTTCCAGCTCTATCCCTTCCCCAAATACCAAATTTTATACCATTTAGTTCTTTCCGTACTGTTCGATGTCGAGATTTATCACCTTCCGAAAATATCGAATTTTGTAATTTTCATACATTTTTAAGTACACTCCAATATCACCATTTCAAAATTCGAGCTCTATCCGTTCACACAAACCCATATTGTACCAAATATAATAACAGTTCTAAATCCACCTCCGTATATCAAACCCACTTCCCCAACTTGATTCTTATACCAAATATAACGATTTTAGCTTTATCCGATCACATAATAACAAATGGTACCAAATGTTGTGTATTTACTACGTTTATCAACTTATAGTTTGAATTTCCAAAAAAAAAACTTTAGTACATCTATCTTAAAGCCCGTCAGTTTACCTCATTGCAAAGTTCTAGAATTCTACATATACCCTTTTGCTTTTATTGCATTGGCTACTATTTACTAACCTTTTAGCACATTATTGGCTCTAATTTCGAAAAGTTCTGCCTTATCTCAACCCCTACATACTAATATTGACCTACATGCAAAATTTCAAGATTTCAAGTCAAGCGGTTACTATAAATCTTCGTTTGAAGAATTTACTCGGGAATAGAATTATCCTAGGGAATGGGATAAACTTTGCAAAGAAATGGCATTGTAGGTATAGGGGTCATGTATAGAAGTTTTTAGAACCGTCCATGGCCCTGTCGGCTGGGTTTCTGTACAAATTGAAAATAAATAAAGAAAAAATTATTACTTCTTCCCAATTATTGATCTTGAGAATTTCTGATAAAGAAGAATGTACCTTAGACCATCAAAAAAACTCTTTGTTTAATAGTTCATCATAGCTGTGTCCAACTGTATAAACATTTTCAACACATCTCCACCACATGTGGTGAACTCACCATAAAATATTCCCACACACCTTTCTTTTGAATTGCACACATGACCGAGGAGAATACCAACAACAACATCAAAAGACATACGGGTTTTGTCCTCACTTCCCTATTAGTGGGCCTGTGCCTCGCTCCCTCCCGACATCCCCCAACACACTTACCATAACAAACCACATTCGAACCATATGCACAACGGAAATGGCAAGAAAAGAAATGAATATGGGGTAATAAGAGAATCAAGATAAAAACAAAAGTTGTATGAAAATGAAAGAAAAAAATGTAAACAATAATGAAGAATGCCACCTTCACAAGAAGTAGGCAGCAGCATGGGTTTCTTGTTTGTCTCTTCTTTAAGGTGAGTGAGAGTCATTTGATTGGCGCTGCTTGCTGTGGAAGACGGACCATACACGTACTGCTGACTGACAAGACGCTATCGTTTTTAGCAGTACTTTCAGGGGCCAAAACAAAAAATGAGCGAATGCTCCTCCGCCACAGTGAACAGAGTAGTATGTAACAACAAAACACTGGGTAGCTGGCTGCATGGTACAACGTACACTCTGGGTGTTTTGTTATTCGATGATTACCAACAACTGTTTGCAAGTTCACATTCTATTCGATTTGTTGTGTTATACCAATCAGTCAGTCGGTTGTTTGGTCGGTCGGTCGGCGGTTCATTATCGGTTTAATTTAAACAATTTAGAGCTTTTACGCCTCATATGAATTTTTTCGTTACTATCTATTTTGCAAATACGAAATAGAAATCTATATCGAATGTTTGTGTGTGTTTGTTTTACGGGGGGCTTAAACGTTTTTTGATACTGAGGGAACAACCTCAGCACCTCCTCCTCTCCTTACCTTTTTTGAGTGTGTGTGAAAATTGAGTGATAGACGCGATTTAATTTGATATGGATAATGGGTGATGAAGAAGTGCTCGACGAAGAAGACGAGGTAAAATCCGCAAGGAGGTGGTAACAAGCAACAATAACAACGGAGAGCAAGCAGCAGCGTACCTATTTTATATGAATTTGATTTGGTGCACATGGGTGCTATTGTGTGTGTTTGTCATTTGCGATAAAACCTCTTTTTAAGAAACCTTTAATTACGTCAACACATATGTCGGTCGGTCGGTCGATATCGTCAATTTTTTTAAATAATTTCGGCCAACAACGGTCTTTTATTTCAAGAGGCGCCTGCTATTTTTTAACAAACCTAAATTCCAGTTTGAAACAAAAACAATTTGACTTTCGCATGAATTAAGAGGAAAACTGAACTACCTACCTGTGAGTGAGTGAGCTGAGAAGAGGCAACAAGGTAAACTGAACTGCAAAAAAATGTACTAAGCTCTCGGTCATGGCGAATAATATATTCCCTTCATTATGAAGGCATAAAAAAGCTTATGTTGCTGTTAAATGTTAAATTGCAAATTTCATCTATGTAATGACCATTGTATTTTTATATATTTTCGAATAATAGCCCATGAAAAACGTTTTTATTGACGATACAGTGATGGAGATGCCTATCAAAAAATTGTATAATTAAAATCTGCTCGGGAGTTATTTTAAATGTATGGATATTTTAGAAATAAAAACAATATGGGCCATAAAATCGG